TAACATTTTCAACAAAGTTCTTAAAACAGATTAATAATAAATGGTTTAAATGATTAAATCATTATAATGTTAACTTCCGGAATATTTATTAAAGCGGAATAATTTGATTTGTTTCTTTCAACTGACTTAACAGTTATCTTTCTTGGATTTTATTTATTTTTAATTTACCAATTCATTTAGAATTATTTTTAATTTACCAATTCATTTAGAACTGATATTTGTATGTTTATTTCTTCCTATCTCTTTTATTTATTTCTTCACATTCATTTATTCATTTTTATTATTTATTTAGAGTGTTACATTTGATGATATAAATAAAATGTGTTAAACTGTGCATGACATTATATGAGAAAATAATTTAAATAGAGATTTAAAAAGGGAACTGACATATTTGACATATGTTGATATTATTCATATAAATCAATAATTATAATTGTATTAAAATATTGATTTAAATCCGAGAAGGTAAATAGAATTAATATATATACCTAAAGGCGACGAATGAAGGAGAGATGACATTCCGGGAATAAAGTATTATATCGGATTTCTTTTTATTGTTAGAAGCACCGGATATTACCCTGAAACTATGAATATTCATAGTTTCTGATTGACAATATCTATGTGATTTTTGGAGACCAGGTCTTCCAACAATCTATTGGAATTCCCATGGGTACCAATTGCGCCCCGTTATTAGCAGACCTTTTCTTGTATTCATATGAAGCAGAATTTGTCCAAAAACTTGTACGTGAAAAGAATAAAACACTTGCTGTGGCCTTCAACTCGGCATTTAGATATATCGACGACGTATTGTCAATTAACAATGGCTATTTCCATTCTTATGTCGATACGATATATCCTGGTGAACTTGAGATAAAAGATACTACAGAGTCTGACACATCTGTTTCATATTTGGATATTTTACTTGAAAAAGACGTTAATGGTAATCTAACAACCCAGCTTTATGATAAACGTGATGACTTTAACTTTTCAATCGTCAACTTCCCTTACTTATGCAGCAATATACCTTCATCATCTGCATACGGGGTATATATCTCTCAGTTGATTCGATACGCAAGAGCATGCTCTACGTATGTACAATTTCTAAAACGAGGTAAATTATTGACAAATAAGTTGATGAAACAAGAATATCAACTGTCTCGTTTAAAGTCATCATTTCGTAAGTTCTATGGTCGATACAAAGACCTTGTCAGCAAATACAATTTATCATTGAATCAAATGCTGACTGACGTTTTTCATACTAATTGTTAGGCCATTATTTACACATTGAATTGTCGACGGATTTTTCCGTTATTTCTCGATCATGACAAGGAGCACACGGCGGGTGTGACCGGTCGGCAGGGGATGCTCACTCCTCCATGGCCCTGATCCCACTTCTGATGTTTGGAGGTCCGTGCTTGCTCTGTTCCTATTTTGTATTGTTTAATGGACTTTTGAGCTTGAATACTGTTCGTTATCTCCATATATTTCATTTATGACGCGGTCGGCCACACGGAATCCATCTAACGCCTTCCACATTAATTTTGGATAAAAATGAAGCAATTGTCCTTCAATTTACCTGAAAAAAAACATCCCCATCTCTTTTCCTCTTGCGTCGTCTCGATAAGTACACATGTACACACTACTTCGCTCCATTGTAGAAACGACGAGTTGTTTAAACGGGAGAAGTGTTCTCAGTAAAATGAAACTTGCCCTGTGGAAGTTTTACAGTTACACATTTCCTTAACAGGAAAAGTGATGAGAGCAATTTCCTCATGCTCGGGAATAATGTAAAGTTTAGCTGTCTTTCTACAAACTTCCTACTTTTAATTATTTATCTTTTTGGTATGAAATAAATCAGAATTAATTTCACAGGGATAAGATATCCGTATATTTTTGAGCTTTTAAGATTTTTGTAGCTGTACATTTTTTTTTCACGCGACAAACAGCTAATGTAAGTGACGTCGCTTTGGACGATCTCAACAGAGACGCGATATATAAAAAAATGCAAATAGCAGAATTGCCATTGGTATAAACCCATACTGTTAAAAAATATCAACACTGTGTTCATTTTTTCGGAATTTTTTAGGCGTATTTCATATGGCGTGCTTAACCTAGCTGCGTATATTCTAGGATAATTATTTAATTTTATATATATGTATATTGTACATGTATCTTCAAAAACCTTAAGAATACTAATATAATTCATAACAAAGATGCAAATATTTTCACTTTTTCAGGTACGACTTAAAGAAATATACACCAATGAATTAAACAATAAAACATGTTTTAAATCAGTAGAAACATGCTATTTCAAAAGATTTTATTATCATTACCTAGTGAAGACGGAGCAAAAGGACGATATTCATATATATCCAAAAAAAAAAAAAAAAAAAAAAAAAAAAAAAAAAAAAAAAAAAAAAAAAATTAAATATAAGTATTTCTTTGCAGAGTAAATATTTCACAAAAGTGTGAGTACAAATAATCTAAGAACAAGGTTCACAGGGTTCGATAGTCACACACCAAAAATAATGAGTCTACACATTCAATCCTCTCAAAATAATGATGAACCTTTTCTTTGTCCAAGAATCACATGGACTCCTTTAACATTTCGTATCCAGCGATTCACATTAGTTACACTAATTTGTTATATTAAGTGAAGAAAAGTCTTTATATTCTCTATATAGAAAATTAAGCAACATAATTGATATTATCTCCTCCGAAAAATATTGACGGTCATTTAATTTTTACTATTGACAGTCAAAGATTTTTTGATTATAATTAGTAGATTGATTTATTTAAGGAATGAATTTAATAGCTACCCAATTTATACGGTGTAAAGTGGTTTGGGACAGTTTACGTTCTATAAACCGCGAGGCGGTTTATAAAAAAAGCGTAAAGTGTTGAAAACCCACTTTATACCGTATATATTGGGTAGCTATTAAATTGATTTCTTATAATCTAATTTTCATTCATTTAGTGTAAGAAAAAAGATGATTGCCCATACAAAATGACTTCAATTTGTACAAAATTTTAAACGTAACGTCAGGCAACGCGAGTCATTGTGACATAAGCAACCCAATTTACACAATATTAAGTAAATTTTTTATTCAATCAAATTGCGCATCACAATCAGAATTAAATTATTGTGACATTATGACACAGTCGGGACGTCCTAAAACTCAACGTCATAATTATAAAAACTCCAAGTAACAAATCATGACAACTTGAGGATTCGCTACAACTACAGTCAGCGTGCAGGTAATGTATTGGACATAAATGATTTGCAGAATGTTAATAAATGAAATCAAAATACTGTTACATTAATTTGTTTTTGTTTTTCATGTAACAAATCAATTATTGCCTGTGTTCTCGAGCAAAATTGATTATGTTAGCCATCTCGGAACGCATATATTGCCCTCCATTTTTGTTTGCTTTGAGCAATATTTCATCCCTTGGGGGAGGGGGGTGACAGAAACAATGTTGCCCTCAACTCCAGTCAATATTTGTATAATACAAGGGAAATAATACAAGGGAATCCACATATTTTATGAAGGAGCTGAATTGGAAACTGAATGTATACACAATAAAAATACACATACAAGAATTAATGATCAATGCAAAAACTTTTTCCAATTTAATTCGAGTGCAAAGCGGTAGATAATTCTTCCAAAAATGTCATCACATTCTCTCCAATTTCTGGCCATCGAATACTTGTGATAGACTACCATATGTATCTGAGGTCTTTTGGCATTCTTTCTACAGGAATGTCATCTTTAATGATCACTATTATTGATTTTTCTCTGTGATTGTGAAATGCATGAGTGACCACCATCTGAATGGCATAAGTATCCCACCCACTCTTCAGGAAGTTTTCCGTTACGAGAATAATAACTTTCCGGCTATCATCAATACATTGCAAAAGTTGCTCAGCTTTTGATATACCAGGAATAAAGTCTATATCTGGTAAGCTAATTAGGAAGCCTAAATGGACCAACTCTCCATACAGAGATGTACAGGCTAATTGATAATCCTCTTCTGCGTATGGCACAAAAGCGTCAAACTGGAATGTTTTTGCATTTACAACATGTACGACACCTTTCCATCGACTACGCAGGCGCAGAATAACATAATCAACATGAACACGATATTTTTTGACGAATGCTGCTGCCAATATTGTCGTTAGTAAAAGTACTAGCACAATGAGAGAACATATCAGCCATATGTTTGCTTGACATTTCTTTTCAAATTCTATAAATGCCTTTTCCTGAAAAAACTCTGCTAATGGCACCGATTTGCTGTTGCACAGAGTGATTTTCAAATCTCCAAATCTGATTTGATTTTCTTTCATCCATTTGAGAGAAGAAATATGCGCACATTCACAATTTATTGGGTTTCCTTCGATATGTATTTTAAAATTCTTATTTAATGTTAATAAGTTGTCAATATCATATTTTGTTAAGAATGTTAATTTATTAAAGCGAAGATAAAGGTGATCTAGCTTTTGTAAGTGTGATACAGGAATTGTTGACAATTCGTTGTGATCGAGATACAAAGTTGAAAGAGAAAGCCTTTGATCAACAAACGTAGTTGGTGGCAAATAAGATATATAATTTTTACTCAAATCTGCAATTTTCAGTCTTTTTAGCCCAATGAAAATTTTTTCCATAATTAAATTATTAGTGAAGTCAAGATCCGCATTGCTTGCGAGAAATGTTTCCAGTTTTGTAGCAAACTGTAATATTGGATACTTAATTTTACTGCATTCGTTATTAGATATGTCAAGAACTTCTAAAGAAGGCGTTTGTATCGGCGCTACACGTTTACACAGAAAGTTTGTGTATGGCACATGTAGTTCTTTTAAACGTTCTCCGGACAGAGTAAAATCAACGGATGGGAAACTCAATGGAGGAATATCAGTCTTAGAAGCTTGTAATACTGTTAAATGTTTTGACAGATTTATAGTAAAAATCGGCCTGTTTTTGAAATGAATACGAATTGGATCACTGTAGTTTATCATTTTCCTAACAATAGTACAAAAATCAATAAACATAAAGAATAGTACTCGCAGTCGTGGATATGCTGTGAGAAAATCCACCATAATATCAGGCTTAATAAACTCAATTCTATTCATAGATATGTCAAAGTACTCCATGCATTGACCCATTCGAGTCTTTAGAGGGTTGTCCGAAATTCTAGATATCCGGTTTTTACTAAGTGTGACGTTCTTGGTGCATGTATTGAACAAATATTTACAATTTTGCTTGTTTAGAAAAATTTCTCTTTCTGGGTGTCTTGGTTTATTTTCATCAGCATTAATATAATCCATTGTTCTATTCTGAAGACATTTCAAGGATAGTAATGCAACGTTCAAGTCGCACATTCCACCAAAGTCAATGAACACACCTTTCAAAACAGGAAATGAGCAAAAGATTTCTTCACTGACATCACAATACACTAGGTTCCTGAAATATAATTTCAGGTAATAGATGGGAGAGTTGGACAGACCGACAAACGTACTCTTTTTAAGATGAAATTTTGATTTTTCTTTGAACAAAATCACTTTTTCCAACTGTGTTAACTTTCGAAAATGGTCACTAAAAAGAAAGCCTTTGAAGACCCCTAATGTCAAACTTTTCAAAGTCAATATTCTGGAAATTTCAATATCTGGATATCCCAGATGTTCAAATGCATTGTAATGTATATGCAAAACTTTCAGCTTTGTTAGATTAGCAAATGATTGGTTGGCTAGAGAAAATTTTCCCAAATTGCACTTGTAAAGAGTAAGAACACATAAATTCTCCAGTGAACCAAAAGCAAATTTTCTTATTATTCTAATATTGTTGTACTGTAGATAGAGAGCTTTTATATTTGGCAACAATTTGATATTGACCCTAGAAAAGGTCTCAGATGAAAGAGTGGTGAATTTGTTTCCGGAAAGATCCAAAGCCAATGACGTATTTCGATATTTTTCTGGTATATTTCGAGGAACTGTTTGCAAGCTAAGATAACTGCAATCCCATAACCATCCTCGATTCTCACAATCATCGGTGTGAGGCCTGAAGCTACACATCTCAGTATTAGTTGTTTCTGTGTTATCTAAATTAAAAAAAAAATAATTAAATGTTGTGTATTTGTCAAGCAAAAAACATATATCACTTAATATAAAGATCAAATTTTATCACGAACACGGTAATTATTTTAGTCTTCTTGTTAAATACGGGTAGAATTTTAAGAAACAACAAGTACTTACTCAGAACATGGAAAATGACAAGACATTTGATAATTGCAAGATGAACCATCATGACCATCACATGCTAAGAACTCTTCATTCTTTGAGTGAATTGTCTGTTGTCTTATATCAATCCAGAGGTCTACACAAAACAAATCTTAATAATTATATATAAAGGGTTTTAGAGGTTATAAGAATCTTTTTATTTCTAAGAATCTCACTTTTTTATATACTAAGAAGGTATTGATAAATGTGACCTTCACCCAACACACAAAGATAAGCAAGTGACCTCTGATGTTTGAAATGCATCTCCCTAATGCATAGAGGGAGCGAGGAATGTTTCAATTTTTTTCCATTTACATGTACAGTTACTTACTGTATTGATCCTGTGGGAAAAATAAATCTAAAGGCTAAACATTGCAATATAAATGTTCCCCATTTTATATGCAATATTATTGAGAGGTAATTGAACATACGTTGATACTTTTATCAGCTATATCATTATAACTCAATGCAGTTTCTACTAGTACTGTGCTTTATCTACATGTACAATGTCCCTTTTGTATTACATGCAGATTTATTTGTTATCAATTAAGAATAATATTTTTCATTTGAATAAAGAGAAAGGAATATCTTCTTCAGTCTGTGCTAATTAATTTTCACATTCACTCTATTGCAGGACACTACATTTTTATGCTTATTCCACTAGATATCATGTCGAATTAAGCAGAAAATAAGCACACTCAGTTTCATTTTAATTTATTATTGCTTTAATCAAAATGAATGATAAGGATTATTGCTTTTCCGTGGAAATGTAAATTAAGGTCACTTTTCAAAATATTTTTTATCATGCCAATAAGAAATCTCATCTTCGACTTTTTAAAAACAGTAACTGTCACTTTTCTGCATTGCTGCAGTAATCGAACTCTGAACATAGTCAAAAATGCATTTTAAAGAAAATCAAGAACATATTACCATAGTCCTCACAACTTATAAAAATCAATTATTTGCCATATATGAATTCATAATACAAATCAATACACTAATCGTGTGTTTAAAAGGATTTTTCACTATATGTACCACAACTTTAATATATCCTTAAGTTTAATAACGTTGAATACGATTACTTACTGTGTCTTACGATTACTCACAATATCCTATCACGTTACAAATAAAAAAAATGATGTACCTCAAAAATTTAGTCTCTCTCTCTCTCTATTTATATATATACTAACAAAAAATTTCTATCATGTTTTGAAAATACTGCATTGATAGACTTTTCAAAGTCCTTTTCAAAGTCCTCTTGGGTAATGATTTAAAGAGTACACGATTCAAAATCATTCAACTTAATTATATGTTGGAGAGATCAACAATGTAGGTCTCAATGCCAATTAAAATATGGAGTAAGGTACAAAAGGAAAGGGAAAGAAATTGCTTCTATATACAGAGAACTATTTATATGTATAATTTATGTATTTGTTATTTTACGAAATCATTAATAAACATTGAATTCTTTCCTACAGGTGCTACCGAAATATACCGTAAATCCGGAAATTTTTCCTGTAGATAAATTTTTAGCAAATTTTCGCAAAAATATATTTCTTTAAAATAAATCAACAACAAAAAATGAAAACAAATAAATTTGCTATTTTAAACAAGATGAACAGGTGTCTGTAAGCAGTGGTCATTTTAAGAAACCTGTTTATACTAACAAGTCAATTACCCATGATAATCCGTGTGTGAAAGTGCCTTCACTTCACCGATGGTTTGACAGGCAGTTTGTCTCTTTTAAATTATTTCTCTAAGAAAGAGAGGGCAGTTGTTTAAGAACAAATGTTTTTATCTGAAGGTTTGTTAAAGCTGATATCGTTTTATATATTTTATGTACATGCATAATTTATTAAAATGTTATGAAAACTTTAAATAGTTTAGATGTTTTATCTCTTAAATTCTATTATTTTTATGTGATTATTGAACATTTGTATTGTTTAGTTTTGCATACACACGTGTAATTTATTGAAAGTACATAATCCGATTATTGAATGTTGGCATCTTTTAATATTGTATGTACATGTGTATGCGAAACTTATAAACTGCTATGAAAATTTTAAGCACGTTTTGATTTAAGCACCATGATTGTCAATTCGCAAAAATTTGAAACGTAAAAATTAATCAACAACTTTTTGACCCAGATTCGCAAAAATAATCGACGTAAAAATTTCCAGATTTACGGTATGTTTCGCCTGATTATAGGAATAATTTCAAGCATTGAAAGCGTGGGAATTACTTAAAATCCTTTTTACATAATGTAATAAAATATTAATTATACATATTTTAGAAATTCTAAAGCAATAATAAACTGTGTTTATGAATCTCTTAAAATACTCATCATATATATAGAACATGTTTCCCCGCATTATTAGAATAAAAATTAAGGTTATGAAAAAAAATTCTGAAAATTACACATTTTTCTGCTAGAGCATTTAACCACCAAAAAATATTTGTACAGAGATAAGCTATCTTGGAATTCTGTGAATTATTGATCCTATTTATTATTGTTTGTTCAAGAAAAAAAAATGAGCTGATATCAAGCTGGAATTCAAATGAAACTGTAGTGGATTTATGATTTGCGCGTAATGTGTAATAATTCAAAAATAAATCTCAAAAAGGCAGAAGAATTAATTTCTTTAACAGGTCCATTAAGTTTTGAAAAACGACGCGTACAAATATGACTTTCTTAGATCAGAGAAAAATGCACCTAGTACTTATATAACTCGATGATATAATAAAAGTGTGATTAAAACTTTTCCATTTTTTATTGAAAGAAATAAATATTAGTCAGTGATTGGATTGTTAGTTAAAAGCAGAAAGAACAATATAATTTGTTCACTAAACTGATATCATTCGGTAAGAATGCTTATATTTCGATATGATTTATGGTAATTTGAATTAATTTAAATCCAAATTGAGGAAAACTTTACAAAATTAAGTTAACATGGGAAATAAAATTTTTATTTATTCTCATGGGGAATATCATTCTTCCTTGTTGAAATTGTATTGATTTTAATGAAATGGTTTGCATATTTTATAAATTTTAATGTTTAAAAAATATTCATCGTCCATTTTGAATAATTTAGCATACTAATAATTGGTTATAGGAAAGTTCCCAAGTAAAGTGAAAATAATAACATTTTTTTTTATATTTCCCTGTTTCTATTCCTTGTCCTTTCCTCTCGAGAAGGAAATTCTCTTAAAAAAATCATTTTTATTCCGTGCAAAAAATAAAAAAAATCGTTGGATGAAAATACTAAATCCTTTTATGCCCCACTTCCCTCTGAATATTGCTTTGCACCTGTCGGTCGCTCGGTGGGTTAACCGTGCTGCAGGCACAACTAAAGATTGTTCCTGCTCGATATCATGAAACCCATTTGCTTTGATATTTGATTTTCAATAAGAAACAAATGACTCCAACTGATTAAGAAATCGAAAAGTCAAAGGTCAATCTGGACATAGGAAGATACTGACCACTCAGTATCTAAATGTGAACTTTTGCCTGAAGACATCAAACTAGACATACTAGTTTCTCCATCAATTTTAGGTCACAAGGTCTAAAGTCAAAGCTCAAACTTCTCTGGACATTGGAATATATTGTTTGCTCAGTGTCTCGAGATCCATGTGCTGACAGTTCATCAAACATGGAAAATTGGTTCCCTCTTAGAAAAAATTACCCCAATGATATCAAGAACTGATAGAGATTAAAATTTAAGGTTATGTTTGCCACTGACTGGCACATGAACATCGCAGACAGTCTCGATCTTAATTTAAAGTTGATCCTTTTTAATATTGTCACACGGGGGGATAATTTCTTGTTTATAATAGTTTTGATTTACAAATTAGGTTCTTTAAGCATTTTATCATAAGTTGAATTAAAATATATTTTTGCCCAGCTTTCCAAATACTTAGATTGGAGAGTAACTGACTTTGATCCGGCTTTGATGTAGCACTACTATAGTTAATGGTGTGTACGTCTCTAAGTAAATGTGTCTTTTTTTATTTTTGTGCAAAGGTGCAAAATATGTTCCCTTTTACTGGTGCTAATGCATATCGTGTTGATCTTAACACAGTGGAAAATAATTTTTCAATATATCTTATAAGTTATCAAGCTAAATAGTGCGCCATTATCTTGAATCCTGTATACTCTTCCTGTACGAAAATTTATGCCCTGACTTAAGGCTGAAAAGGGCCACCGTCAATCGACAGAACCCGCCTTACATCTTTAAAAAAAATTAACTAGACCATTAGACGGAGTCAGAGTGGAATCAGGGCTGTTTATGGCCCTTAATATTTAAATGAGTTAAGATGTACTCCTCTTTTATAGAACACCTTACTTGCAAGGGATATTCCGCCTTACTCTCAAGGCGTATTCTACCTTACTAGCAAGGCGTGTTCCGCTTTATAAATATGCAAACCATGAATGATGAATCCATGAAAATAACATCAATATACCATAATCCGCTGCACATGGAGTTTACATCTGCCTTTGATTCGATTCACAAGAGCATGGTCTACGTGCGAACAATTTCTAAAACGAGGATACAGTCCCTGAAACGTTCTACTTTCCCACTTGAACGGTGAACGAACGCTGAACGAACGGTGAACGAACGCTGAACGAACGCAGAGTGAACTGTGAGTGAACGATGTGTGAACGCTGAACGCAACTTGGTGAACGATGTGTGAACGGTGAACGGTGAGCGAACGCAGAACGCGAACGGAGCGCAAACGCGAACGCAAAGTGAACGATGAACGAACGGTGAACGCAAGATGAACGATATATTCGGAATGCCTCTGATCTTTTCCTTGCATTGAAACTATTTTATTGTATTATAATGTCAGGTGCCAAAAAAAAAATAAATAAATAAGTAAACCAATAAATGAATGAATAAATAAGTAAATAAAAATAAATTCTCCAAAATTGTCCTAAGAAAGACGATTCATGCACATTAAGATTTTAATCACATGATTTTTAACGCATTAAAACATTGCAATTGTGGCCGAACGCTGAAGTATAAAAGATATTTTTTTAGTTGGAAAATAAAAATGTTTATTCTTATTTGA